AACGATTAATCGCGATTAATCGCATCCAAAATAAAAGTTTTTGTTTACATAATGTGTGTGTGCTGTGTATATTTATTATGTATATATAAATATACACACATGCATGTATGTATACATTTTGAAAATATTTACATGTATTTACATGTATATATTTATATTCATATCATTTATATTATATATAAATATATTTAATATACAAACAAAATATTTTTCTGATATATATATATATATATATATATATGCATGTGTGTGTATTTATATATAAATAATAAATATACACAGTACACACACATATTATGTAAACAAAAACTTTTATTTTGGATGCGATTAATCGCGATTATCGTTTGTCAGCACTAATTTAAATACATTACATACATTTATATAATTTATACATGTAATATAAAAAAAAAAACTTTAGCATTAAACTGATTAAACGTAACAAAGACATTTACAACGTTACATAAGATTTCAATTTCAGATAAATGCTGCTCTTTTGAACTTTCTAATTAAAGAACCCTAAAAATGTTTTGCACACAAAATTATTGAGCAGCACAACTGTTTTCAATATTATTAATAATAAATGTTTCTTAAGCATCAAATAAAATGAGCATCAAAAAAATCTGAATATTTTCTGAAGATCACGTGACACTGAAGACTGGAGTAATAATGCTGAAAATTCAGCTTTGGCATCACAGAAATAAATTACATTTAAAAGATATTAAAATAGAAAACAGTTACTTTAAATTGCAACAATATTTCAAGTAATTATTGCTTTTCTGTATTTTTGATCAAATAAACAGCTTTGGTGAGCATGAGAAGCTTTCTTCAAAAACATTTTAAAAATATTACACACACACTGCTATATTCTCAAGGAAAGTTTTAGCTATATCTATTAATCTCTTGATTTAAAGATGGGCCTTATCTTATTACACCATGACAAATTCAATGTACTGTATATTTTCATTAGTTTAAGTAAATGTTAAGCAAATGTAAGGAAGGGTGACGTACCATCACGGTGCAGTCTTCAGATCCACTAGCGATGACATGGTCATTGTGAGGGCACCAGTCAATGTCCAGAACAGGGCCAGTGTGGCCACATACTGTAGGGTAGGCCTTATCAATACGGCCCGACTGCAGAGAGAAAACAAAGACAAATATTAGGTTATGAGAGCATTGGGCCCTTTGGGTAAATGAAATGAGCTCGGACAATGCCAGCCAAGCTCTACGTAACACCAAAACAAACACTTATGCCCTGGCCTGCGCTCATGAAATGGGGGGGAGAGAAAGCCATTCTTCTCCAAATTATCAAACAATAGCTCATCCGGTCATTCAAATCGACAGCAGAAACATCTACACACGACAGTGCGGGGCTTTTGTTCTCGCAGCTCGGCTTCCAAATGCAGACAGAAATACGCGTGCAACGGGCCCTTGGCCCTTTCACTCAGAGTGAAAGGTCACACGAGGAGGTTTGGGAGTGAAGAAAGTGTGAGAAAGCCCAAATTTTTTTTTAAAGCATCAATGATAATAATAAATAAACCGCTAGTTAAATACTAAATGAAATAATCGTAATTAAATAAATACTTAGAATAATAAAGAAAAGTATAATAATAAATACTAAGAATATATTAATTCTATTTTATTTTGTTGAAAATATACATTTAACCAATACTGGGAATAGAACAATTTACAAATTTTATTTTTGTAAAATAGTATGTGATTCCTTGAATCAGTTTTTTTTTTTTTTTTTTTAAATGTTCTTTTTTAATTAATTATATTAAATTTTATATGTTTTCAATTAAATTATAAAATAAAATAAAATTACATAAAAATATAAATTAAGGGAGCAGGGAAAGGATGGGAAGGCCATTAAATATTTATGTCTATTTTCTTGTTTTCTTAAAGATATAGTTAAATTGAATTCAATTGATCAGAGATTTTTTTGGCATCACAAGTCAAAAATGTTTACCACAGTGAAATAATGAATAAATAAAACACTAATTCTATTTTATTCAGTTCATTAAATTTAGAGATTTGTTGGCATCCCAAGTCAAAATTTTAATTTAATAATATTTAAAAAAATTAATAAATATCTCTAAATAATATTGGTGCATATAAATAAAATCAACTGTGGAAATAATTTTTTTTTCAATTATATTAGGATTTTGTATTTAAAGAGATGTAGACTAGTGCAAACGCAGCCAGATTTGGATCGTCACCTCCAATGCGACTGTTTGCACGCACGTTTGTATATGAAAAACAGTGTTGCTCTTCATTCTGAACACCTTATGTAATACCATTATACATTGCACAGGCCTGAAAACTAGGAAAAAATACAACAGAAGATTTCCCTCCTCTCCCTTGTACACAGCAAACAAAGAAGCCAAATAAAGGCACGGCTGCGGTCCCATGCCCAGTCAGCTGACTTCCTGATGACATCAGTGCCCTCTGCTCTCCGGGTCACGACCTTTGATCTCTGCACAGGGCTGTGTGATCAGGTGTCATCTGATGGAGAGACGACCGCACCCACACTTTTGTCCACGCGGCTGCTGTGCCTATGGTGCGATGACATCACAGCAGGAAGCCCAGCCCAGCGGAGCACAAGAGCCTGGGCTTTTCTCAGGATACATACCTGCACAAAAAGACTCTACCCACCTGTGCGGAAAACCACTCTGTGCGTGTGCACATTGCTTCTCAAGTCTAGGCATGTTTATAACACAGCCTTCTGAAAGAGAAACTATACCCTTCACAGCTATTTGTGAGCTAACCACCCCGAATGAGAAGAACTGATAAGGCGCCAAAACAGCATTTCACAAGAAAAGATCAAAGGTAATAAAAGAAAGGGAGATAGAGGAATACGCAAGATGATGTTCTTAAAACAGAGAAAATAATTCAAGACAAAATAATTCAAGACTATTATCAGGAACTCTGATTACCAATCACTTCATGAACAGCTGAAGAAACACACAGACATACAGCGCTGCTGCTCGCCAATAAAAACAGAATTCACTTAAGGCTCCTGCTTCACGGTCCAGCTGTAGGCAGCAGTCTGTCAACCATCACATGCACCAGACAACAAACCAAGACACGTGTTGGCATGAGACTAGTGTGAGAGAATCACTGATGTTGTCTGTGTTGTGAAGTTATGACGATGTACTGCTGGTAAACACGATACATGCAGAAAGGAATGTAACGCAACTTACCTGTAAAGCGATGCAGGAAAAAGTCACGTAAATAGAAGGTCATACATCTAGAAACGCATTAAAGGGGTCATATGATGCTGCTAAAAAGAACATTATTTTGTGTATTTGGTGTCATGAAATGTGTTTATGCAGTTTAAAGTTCAAAAAACACATTATTTTCCACATACTGTACATTATTGTTTCTCCTCTATGCCTCGCCTTTTTGAAACGCGTCGATTTTTACAAAACTAATCGGTCTGAAAAGCGAGGTGTGCTCTGATTCCTTTAAGACCTTTCAACAGTCCAAGAATAAGCATTTTACTGAAGAATTCATGTGCTTTTGAAAAAAAATCTAGATAAACATTTCTGCTTTTAAACCCTGCTTACTGTAAATGTAATAAAAACATAAAATATATGTAAAATAAAAAGAAACTAAATGAAAAAATTAAAATAAAATGAATAAAATAAATAATTAAAATAAAATAAAATAAATAATTAAAATAAAATAAATGGGATATAGGCAATCCGTGGGCAGCAGTCCTTCAACTATCACGTGCCGCAAGAGAATACATACCAAGAACACTTGCTAACTCAATCTTTTGCACTTGGTTTTTGGCTTGTTTAGTCACTGACATGTGGAAGGAAGCAATGGCAGAAAAAAGGGGGGAGGTGATATAAGGGCACTAGTTCTCTCAAGAGAACCGTAAGTATCCATAACTCAAAGCATCTAAAAGAGGAGCATCAGGATGATGCACATGCATTAGCCTCTATATTGACTTCCTAACATTATTGCCATTTGGTTTTTAATGGATCGCTAACACTGGAGCAGAAGGTCATCAGTAATCATCTGCTTATGGATTCGAGCTCAGCTTGCTTTATTATTTATTAACACATTTAGAGACAGTATATAAAACTCGTCCATGCGCTTATATAGGCAGGCTTGTGATCACAAAGATGAGCAAATTGTAAAAACCGTAAAAAATTTTTTAAAAAAATGCATCCATAGAGTGATTACATGATTCTAGATCATTTGAAAGCCCAGTAAAGATCTTATAAACAACAAAATTTGTCAGCAAGCCATCTATATGATGAGTGCATTTTCTCACACATGTTTAGAATGCCTGCTAATTGAAATATAAAAAAAAGTTACAGCAGTTACAGGTAGATTTTTTGTTGCAACGTTTATGATTGATGAGATAAATCCATTATGCATTATGGTAAATTATAAACTTACAGGGAAGCTCTGCTAAACTTATATCATGAATAATTATGTGAATTAATTATAGCTTACTAAAACCGGAGCCATCCAAAATCACCGCTGCAGTGCAGCGAGTCTAACCTGTTGCATAGCAACTGTAGCAGCATTACTGCAGATCCCTCACCTCGAGTAACACAGGTCTGCCTTAACCCATACAATCCATAAACCAGGATTCCCGCCTCAATGAAACCTCAGAGAGAGTTACCAGTGAAGAGAGACATGGAAAGAGGAAATGAAAGAGACAAAACAACGGGACACACTGTGGAGGATGCCAACAGAAAGTATTACAGAAGCAGAGCCGCTTTCGGCAGAAGCTGAAGCACGTCTGTCTTATCTAGTCAGCGTGGAAATTTCCATTTCCTCTGCGAGTCCATGAGGACCCAGAGGCAGCAGACTACAGCTGACCTGACTGAAGCACCCCAGCAGCCGTCCAACCAGACGTCATGAGCCACACAAACAGCCAATCAGGACAGTGTCAGAATGAGAGCTGCTCAGGGCCAGCAGGTGTATGTAGTTGGCTAATAAATATGACCTGAATGATAGAGGAGAAGGATAGAATATAGAAATGAGGTAGAAAGATCACCAGATAAGAGAGATCCTGTGTTGTGACACTCATAACATTTTTTACAGGTACAATTTATATTGGATGAACAACCTAAAAAATATAGTACAAATAAATAAAAATATATATCAACAAATTCTGATAATTAAATCAAGAAGTGACTGACTTTTGTATTTTAGTGAAACGTCCCATCTGGATTCATACAATTAATGAACTTTTATGGTTATATTGATTATATTTATACAATGAATTAAATGAAATAAATGTAATAAATTATACAACAACGAATCAGTTGTTCCATAAATGTCAAATTCTGTAAATCCATTAGAAGGTATTTATATTATATCCTTTTTTTTAATAGGAATTTATGGTTTATATATATATATATAAACAAAAAAATAAATGTATTCTGTATGAGCAACCTAAAAAAAAAAAAAAAGTAAAATTAAACTAATAATAATAATAATAATAAATTATATATGTTTTTATAACAACAACAATAATAATAGTTATTAATATTATTATTATAAAATTTTACTCTTTTTAGGTTGTTCATCAATAAACTGTATAATAATAGTAATAATAATAATTATAATATATTATTGTTATTTCACACTGCCCCCTTTTCTTCTATGCTTCTATCAAAGAATCTATTGGGCGCAAGCACTGTGCTTCAGCCAATGGGAAGGAAAGAGGAAATGGGTCTGGAAGGCTGACAGGCGGGAGCTGAGGATGACCATATAAGGTCAAATCTGCAGTCAGCAGCCGCCTGAGCTCAGTCACTGCAGCAGGAACAGTAGGGGGCTCCTGGAATACAGACTGGGAATCAGAATGACACATCCATGGCCACACACACACAAGTTCAGTTCTGTCCATGTGGCAGCACAAGATATATGGAGGTGGACTTTGAGGAGACTGAACTCTTACTTCCTTCCTGTGTGCCCCTTTTTCCTGTTTCTCTCTTCTCATCTTTGGTGCTCTCGTTCTCCTGCTTTCCCGCTTTTCTGTGAAGTGACAGCAGGAATCATGTGTCTGCACAAGGGCCCAGTTCAGAGGCAGGAATCCCAAAAATATGTCCAACATATGGTTGGATCAATAGGCTACTAAATATTTTGGCTTTAATATGATACTAAATCAATACCTAAAGCAGCAAATAAACAGTCTAGGATGACTGATGATTTGAAACCAGGGCTGTAGTACAGATTAATATCAATAATTTGTAACCCATTCGGTTTCAACTTTTGAGCAACAACTTAAATTCTGTGCAAATGTCATGCAAAAAGTGCTAATCTTTTTTTTTTTAATTAGTAAATTGAACTCTCATCAAAATTGATGAACTTCACATTGTTACTTAGGGCTGCACAACACGGTTAATCACAATTTTTTGCTCAAAAATTAAAATCATGATTATCATTCATGATTACTCTCATTTAAAAAAAAAATTTTCATCAGAATTATTGCACTTTCATAGAAGAACTAATCAACTTGCATGGTTTGCTCGCAGATTTATTCGCAGCAAACAGCGCAAATGTATTACATGTCTGGTTATATTTCATATAATTTCAGCAGAATATATAAATAGAGATTGCTAATCTCCAACTTGCATGCTTGCCGGTGTTTTTTTCCATAATGCAGAGAGAGTGTGTGCTCTCGATTTAAAATGTATCGATTTAATAGAAAAGCTCATTTCAGAATAAATAACCAATGGGCAAACATCACAGAAGATCATGCCTAATAAATTGGGAGAAGCAGAAATCATTTTCTCTAATGTTCACCAAGGCTGCATTTATTTGACCAAAAAACACTAAAACATCAATATTGTGCACAATTTACTATTATAATTTTTTTTTTCTATTTTAATATATTTGAAAATGCTTTTTGTTTCCTGTGATGGCAAAGAGGAATTTTCAGCAGCCATTACTTCAATCTTCAGTATCACGTGATCCTTCAGAAATAACTGTAATATGCTGATTTGCTGCTCAAGAAACATTTGTCATTTCTACATTTTATCAATGTTGAAAACAGTTGTGCTGCTTAATATTTTTGTGGAAACTGCGATTCATTTTTTTTAATGAATAGAAAGTTCAAAGGAACAGCATTTAGTAGAAATATAACTCCTTTGAAGCTTTTCAAATATCATTACTGTCACTTTTGATTTACTGTTTTGATTCAAGTTAATGTGCCATTGCTAAATAAAAGTATTAGTTTAATTCGTTAAAAAACCTTACAGACCCCAAACCTTTAAATAGTAGAGTACAGATTATACACATAAATGTCAATTCTGTAAACTCAAAAGAAACTCTCATGCGTCAACATATTCATGTCACATTGCCTAAAGCATCAATCAAAAAGCCTGCAGATGCACCTTAAATCACTGTAGTACTACAGTCGATACAGGTTAAGCTCCATCGTCAGCATTTGTGGTGCATATTAGGGTTGTGACGGTGAGGAAATTTTCCCACCGGTTAATCGACGTGTGACAACACCGGTAATACCGGTATCACCGCGGGGGCGTTCCCTCTTTTCCTCGCTTTCCTTCGCTTTTAAATAGCTTGTAAAAGCTGCGTGCGCACTTTACTTTCACTTTCAAATAGCAGCAATTAGGCGTAAAGCAATTGTTCGTTTTTAGTTTGTTTGAATTTCCCCTCTTTTCCTCGCCTTCCTTTGCTTTTAAATAGCTTAAAAGCGCATTTTACTTTCACTTTCGAATTAGCGGCAGTTCGCGTCAATTGCTTGAATGCAACAACAAAATACAACGTCAAAATCACTTTAGCCGTGTTGCGGCTTAACACCGGTATCACCATCAACACCATCTATCGCGGCAAGCCTAGTGCATATCATTCCAAAGTTACACAAATTACCGGCTTTACATGGTCATGATGGGAAAGATAAGCCATTTTATCATATCTCATCTGTCTCATGTTCACGCGTCTAATGCTTTAGTCTTATCACACGTTTGCTTGCATTGCAAGGCTTCACCATGTCATTTTTTTTTTAAACTGGAAATGATTATCTGTTATACTCAACAACATTACCCGACAAATACTGAACTCAAAACATAAACTGCAGAAGACTGACTCAAATGACCAGACAGTAAAAGTTTCAAAGTCACTAAATATATGCCCTGGATTTGAGTTGCCAATATCATAACCGAGACTTAGCATAAGTGTAAACGGGCAGTTTCCTGTGCAATGTTTCATATTTTGTGTGGTCAGCCAGAGGGGACTGGTCAGTGTGAATGGAAAGTATGAACGCAATGTCTGCGGAAGACTATGGCCATCCGTTTCCCACCGCTTCCTTCATAAGTTAATGAGAGAACACAGCTGAATGAAGGGGGAGGGTTTCGGGAGAAAGACAGATATGTGATTAGTTAGACACCTGATGGTCTCCTAAGGGGGAGAGACAATAAGAGTCTGATTCATGCTGCTCTGCCTCCCACACAAAGAATCCAGCCACAGCCCAGCTCAAACGCCCCCCGGCTGACAGGACGGCACGTCAGAACTTCACTGCTCCTCACGGCAAAACACACGAGAGTCAGTTAAAACATACAAATGCACCCATGACATGCCACGTTCAGGTAAAGATAGAAGGCAGCTCAGTCTAACAAAAAATAAATCAAAAAGAAGCGTTTAAAATGAGCATATTGCAGACATACAGTGTCTATATCAAAAACTCTGTTTATATATATAACAAAACTAACTGACAGCAAATGATATGTGCCACAAAATGTTTATGGTTAAATGAACACTTAATTGATAGTTACTTTCGCCAAAATTGGTTGTAAACAAATGCAAAAAAATATAAAGTTTAAAGCAAAACACTAAAATAAATGTGTAAAAAAAGGAGAAAAAAAAGAAAGAAAGATGAATAAAAACAAGGATGTGAGGGATAAAAAAATTTTTACAAAAAAATTTAAAAAAAAATACTAAAACCAATTTTTGAAAACAACAACAAAATGGCCAGTATTCAAATTCTTTAATATTTAGAATAAATCATACCATAAATAAATGACAAACAAAACACTAAAAACTAAAATTACTAAATGAAATGTACAAAAAAACCCACATAATATTATTATTTTATTTTAGAATACATAACAAAATGGGCAGTATTAGAATTCTATATATGTAGAATAAATAACATTTCGTAACATTTCAATACTTAAATACTTACTATAAGTGAATTTAGGCTCACAACACTATAAATTATGAAACTATACATTTATTTTGAGATTTGAGATTTTTCTCATGTCGTTCCAAACCTGTATAACTTGAGAACCCTAAGACAAAATATCTATGTAATATCTACAAAATATATGTTCCACGGAAGAAAGTTCATTAAACAGAACGACATTGAAGGCGAGTAAATGATGAATTAAGATAAGCATACTGAAACCCCATCAGTCTTTCTACAACTCTGACCACTTACACTTCAAGAGCTATGAACACTCAGCCAAACAGCTACCACTGCTCCCTGCTGGGAAACAATAGACAGACGCATGGGTCTGAGGATTTTGGGGAATCAAGTGAGGATGAGAAGTTCCCATACAGATTTGAGCTGGGAAACAAAGCTGTGCAGAACCTGGCATACACACAGGGACAATAGCTCCCCCAGAGCCAGCTGTCCGATTGCAGGGGGCTTCTGGGAACGGGGCGGCATGGGAAGACAGACCATAGATGCAGTGCTGCACTGAACCAGAGCAGATACTTAGGGAGGGGTGCAAAGCGTCAGATGAAGAAGGACAGCAGGCAGGACATAACACAGACACAAAAGAACCAAAAAAAGACTGAAGTGAAGAGTTTCTTTTGAAGGCTAAATTTAAATAAACTAGGGATGTAATGATTCACTCAACTCACGATGCGATACGATACGATTCATGATACTGATTTCACAATATGATTTTCTCATGATTTTTTTTAACAAAATGAGATTTATTAAATTATGAATGAAAAGGTGTCGTTTTATTATTTGCTGCACATTTCTTTGTTTAACTGAAATATGTTAAAAACAAATACAAAAAAAAGAAATTTCTTCATGTAAACAAACTAAGGCTTTGCCTGTGCTCTTTCCTTTTTAGAGGTAACCACTGAATTTGAATCATGATTCCAAACAAAGATGCTGCATACATGCAACATGAGCAGTTTTTAATCTAGATTGTATAATTTCGAAATTTGAAACTATACTACATGAAACAAAAACAGCAGACAGGATGAATGAGGCACAAATTCACTCTCTGACAGCAGGTGGCGCTAATGGAACAGCAGCAATATGTGCCACTGGACCACAAAACCAGCCATAAGGGTACATTTTTCGAAATTCAGATTTATACATAATCTGAAAGCTGAATAAATAAGATTTCCATTGATGTCAGATTTGTTAGGATGGGACAATATTTGGCCGAGATACAACTATTTGAAAATCTGGAATCTGAGGGTGCAAAAAAATCTAAATACTGAGAAAATAGCCTTTAAAGTTGTCCAAATGAAGTTCTTAGCAATGCATATTACTAATAAAAAATTAAGTTTTGATATATTTACAGTAGGAAATTTACATAATATCTTCATGGAACATGACTGTTACTTAATGTCCTAATGATTTTTGCCATAAAAAAATCGATAATTTGGACCCATACAATGTACTTTTGGCTATTGCTACAAATATACCCCAGCGACTTAAGACTGGTTTTGTGCTCCAGGGTCACATATAGTGTTTCGTTGGTTACCACTGCATACAAAGCAGCATTGTGCTTATGAACGGTACTTTAATATGCATTATACAGAGGCAAGATGAAGGAAAAAAGAAAAAGAAAAAAACCTTCTAAACTTTTCTGAAGACAATCAGTTCCCCTCAAAGATGCATTTCATAAACTCCCACCCCCAACTGTATCGTGATTCATTTAACAGCTCAACCAGCTTGAATAGTCACATATTTGTATCGACTTTTAACTGGCTCAGGGTGCATTGTTACGT